AAGTTGTGAGCTCAGATGTCATTTATAATTCTTATCTAGTAAGTTAATGAAGCTCAGTTTTGGAGAAAAAAATATTACTTTCAGTCTAAATGTGTTCAACCTAAAGTGAATTACAGTGTAAGCCTTTTCAGAATATTCCAGCCTAAAACTTTTTCTTCTAATTGATCCCTTATAATAATTTTCCTTTTAACAGGCCCTTCATAACACAAGGCTCTTATCTGCTTATTCAGCCGTTGATCCCAGAGTGAAATATTTATGCTATACCATGAAAGTATTTACAAAGGTGAGTATGCTTCCTGTTGGGATTCATCAGGAAATTTCACTGCATCTTCAAACCTAGTTGAAAACATAAGTCTGTATTTTTTAAAGAACCATGGCCATGTTAAATGCTTCCTTTAACTACTTTGGGAAGCCTGCCGTGGCAAGCTAAAATTTTGTCCTCTTAAATTTTACATATGATAATCTGATCTTGCTTGTGACTGATGGTTGGGTTTTTCTTTGGTTTGTTTTTGACATCCTTTTGGTTGGTCTTATTTGGTTTTGTTGGTATATTTTAGCATTTGAAGGTGTTATTTTTACATTAATGCCCTATAGAAGCACCTTACTTTTAGTGATAATAGGGTAGCTGCAAATTTAGCAGAAAACATTGGTGATCTTTCCTTTGTTCCTCATTTTCCTTCCCTCTAGATGTGTGATATTGGTGATGCATCTAGAGGCAGCTTATCATCATACGCATACACACTTATGGTGCTATATTTTCTCCAGCAGAGGAATCCACCAGTCATTCCTGTCCTTCAAGAGGTATTAGTAAAAGAAATTGTGTTGCTCATCTGTAAAGCTGCGTTGCCTTTGAGCCCTCTTCCTTCTCTAATATCTGTGGTTCTGTAGTTAAATATTTAACTATTTTCCTACAAGTTTTTGTATCAATGCATTAAATTTGTAATCCATACTAATAGTTTAAAAATTAATTTCAGATATACAAAGGTGAAAAGAAACCTGAAATATTTGTTGATGGCTGGAATATTTATTTTTTTGATCAAATAGATGAACTGGTACGTATTTTAAGAGTAAAGATTTTTTTACATCCTTGACTAAAAGTTAGCTGTACTATGCTGTGATGTAGTGGTCAACAACTATATTATCACCTGTTATATTTATTTATATTATGATAGTAAAAAACTAGCATATATAGATGTTCCCTCCGAAGTTGAAAACACTTTTATTAAGCCAGGTGAGTTTCCAGGGACTGTATCTAGGATTTCTTTAATGCCTGTCAATTCCAAATGGTTGTGTAACTTTATTCCAAGTGAACAAATATTTGCCAAGTGATTTTCAGAGTTTGGAAAGACTTTCATTGAGTTCAAAGATCTAATAACCCGGGCATCATCAAGGCTCTTAAAATTTATTTCCAGATTCTTCCACAAACATGCATTCTGGAGTTTGACATTTAAAACCCTGAGCTCTCCCTGTCTCGAAGTCACAGGGTAGAGATTAATAAACTTATATAAATGGTATTTTTAAATGTGAAAGAAAAGTTATGTTATTATGTTTTTATTTAAATTCCAGTTAATTAAAATAAGTCCAAACTTACTCCCTAAGATACAAATGAAGGTAGATATTAACACTTTACTATAGAGCATGATATCTCTTGTTCCCTTCTATTTCTAGCCCATCTATTGGCCAGAATATGGGAAAAATACAGAATCTGTTGGGCAGCTGTGGTTGGGACTTCTTCGATTCTACACAGAGGAATTTGATTTTAAAGAACATGTTATTAGCATCAGGAGAAAAAGTCTGCTTACAACTTTTAAGAAACAGTGGACCTCAAAATACATTGTTATTGAAGGTACAAATAAAATGAAACTTAAAATGGAATAGAATATAGAGTTTGAACTGTGAGGGCATTGTTTTTCATCCCTGCAGAGCTCTTGCAGAACGGCAAGGAGCCACTGGTTGGGATGGGCGGCACAGCCTTCCATAGCAGCACACTTGTCTCTTTCCAGCATAAAGATGTATTTTTAAGTGACCCACGACCTCCTGTGGGGACTCTCACCAATTCAGAAGTCTTTTGACCAGGACACATCTTTGACTTTTGTTGAACACGTACTGGAGAATAAGTTTGCAATAGAGATAAGGCAGCTTCAAAAGAGCAGGACTTTTAACACCTTCCGAATTGAGGGTTTGAAGAAAGGGCACTAAGAGTAAATTTTCAAGATCCTTACTTGCTATTTATTCATGAAGGAGTTTACCTATAAGTAATTATATATAAATTTTGACATTTCTTTTGCCCACGCTGCAGCCTTTTCTTCCATTGAATGCAAGGATCCATGGGCCATATATGTTTGTAGTTGATTGTTTATTTGCAATTTGTGGGATTTTAATTTTAGGGACAAAATGGTGTTTAAATGCTTAAAACTGAATTGAGAAATGGCTTAAGTAATATTTTATTGATTTTAATCTTTTTAATTTTTTTAATATTCTAATTAGTTAAATTATGTGTGTTACTCTAGGTTGTGTTTCCATCATTACTTCTGCCTCTTGGCAGTATTAATACTGTGAACATTTATAAAATTAAATTCAGATCACTGTGGCTTTAGATAGGGTTTTAACTTTTTAGGATCTCATGTCAAAAACATAGAACTTTGTCTTAAACCTTTCCATTATCACAGTGGATTCGTATGGTCTCCAGTTGTTCATATTTTGTTTTTAATTTTTGAAGTTTCTTTATCTTTTTACATTTCATTTTTACATTACTTTCAGATGAACCATTAGTAATAGGCTAAATCAGAAAGAACACTTTTAACCAGCTATTCTAGAATAGAGGAATTTTAGGGGTGGTGGCGGCAGCAGTGTTTATAACTGTCCAATAGCTTAATATCATAGTGTCTCTGCTGCATTAAGCAAACAACCAAAAATACTTCCACATAGACACACGTGAAAGTCACCAGAAGAAAGCATGATCAAACCTACTAGGAAGGTAACCTTCTAATAGTGGTTATTAGTGTAGGGTCATACTGAGCGAAGGCTCCTATACTCCAGGAACCTGTTAGTGCGTCTGAATCCCGAATGGTGTGCCCCAGTTATTGTACATTAAAAAGCATAACAGACAACCAGAAGCATGCCTCTTTTTACTTATGTACTCCATCTATATATACTGTACACAAGCAGTCTTCTACTTTCTTGATCCCCAAAAAGGGTTTTGGGGGTTTTTTACTTTGCTCTTCTTCAATGTTTTTAGGCATTTATTGGAAATAAATATCTATACATAATATTCAAAGTATGAATTATTATGTATGTATATTAAATCATGTATAAAATAGTATTTTAATTTAGAAATAGTACCTTACCTCCATTTATTTCATGAACAAGTTTTATTTAGATCTCGAATAAATCTTTGACATCAGCATTTTTTTTTTTCATCATTCCT